ACTCCTGCAGGGCAACACATGGGGACGATAAAGCTAAAAGTGTATTGCGTTTTTTTCCCTCCCCTCTTCTCTGTCTCTGTCTCTCTGTCTGTCTGTCTGTCTCTGTCTGTCTGTCTGATTCTCTCTCTGGTCTGATTCTCTCTCTGTTTCTGTCTCTGTCTGTCTGCCCTGTCTGTCTCTGTCTCTCTCTGTCTGTCTGTCTCTGTCTCTCTGTTCTCCCTCTCTCTTTCTCTCTGTCTGTCTGTCTGTCTCTCTCTGTCTGTCTGTCTCTCTCTCTCTCTCTCTCTCTCTCTCTCTCTCTCTCTCTCTCTCTCTCTCTCTCTCTCTCTCTCTCTCTCTCTCTTCTCTTTCTCTCCTTCTCTCTCTCTCTCTCTCTCTCTTTCCTTTCTTCTCTTTCTACATTCGCCTACAGTTGATGCATCTTTTTTAATCCTTTTTTTCCTTTTTCTTTCTGTTTTATGTATATAGTTGCGTGTGTGACAGAGAGTAGTAAGGAAAATATAGAATTGTGTGTGTGTGTTCGTGCATGCGTACGTGTATGTGTGTGTGTGAACGTGTATCTGTGTACACAAGAAAGAAAGAGAAATACGTACGTGTGTGTGTGTGTATACGTGTGTACAAGAAAGAAAGAAGAAAAGGACAAAAGTTGAATAAAAATAATAAAATCATGAATTCGAACGTGTGTGTGTATATACGCGTGCACACAAGAAAGAAAGAGAAATAGCAAAAAAAAGGTTGAATAAAAAGAATAAAAAGAGATTCATCCCTCACTCCGACCATCCATCAAAGCATCACCATGCAAAGTGAACATTCATCTCTCCAGCACGAGAGCAGACATTACTCACCAGCAGCATCAGACATTCTTCTCTCCCATTGTGTGTGGCGTAATTCTCCATCTCTGTCGGCATCTGCAGCATCCCGCAACAGCTGCTGAACCCGGACATCAATCTTACATCGGATGTGTGATATACAACCTTTTACTTGGATGACATCTGAAGGGTTTTGGGATTCTCTCTCTCTCTCTCTCTCTCTCTCTCTATCCTTCTCTCTTCCTCTCATCTTCGTCTCTCTCTCTCTCTCTATCGTTAGGCTCTATCTTTGTCTACCTTTTTTTTCTGGCTTTTTATCTGTCTCCTGGTCGTTTGGCCCTCGTTTGTCTGTCTTCTGTGCTTCTTCCTTCTGTGTGTCGTCTCTCTTTCTCTCTGTGTTTCCTGTCTCTCTCTGTGTGTCTGCCTCTCTCTCTCTCTCTCTCTCTTTCTCTCTGTCTGTGGTCTGTCTGTGTTCTGTGTCTGTCTGTCTCTCTCTCTCTTTTCTCTCTGTCTGTCTTCCTGTCTGGACTCTGCTCTGTCTGCTCTGTCTGCTCTCTCTCGCATTCTCTTCTTCTCTCCTCTCTCTCTCTCTCTCTCTTCCTCTCTCTCTCTATCTCGTCTATCCTTCTCTCTCATCTCTATCTATCTATCTATTATCCCCCCCCCCCCCCCTCTCTCTCTGCGAAAGGCTGTCTGACACGTGTATTCTGCCAGTCGCTGTTCTTCCCGTACTGTTTAATTCAGACCCGAACTATTTTGCAGATGGATAAAGTACAGATAGAAAAGCATGTGAATAAACAGAAATAGAAGGAGAGAGACACGAAAAGTAAGATAGACATCCAACAGATAGACAGAAGAATGGAGATGCTTACTGACCGATACACATACATACAGATAGACTAACATACATGCGTACATGAAGACATAGAGACAGAGCAAGATGAAGAAAGGAGAAAGAGCAGAAAAGAGGAGAAGAAGAAGAAGAAGAAGAGGAAGAAGTAGGAGAAAAGAAGAAGAAGAAGTAGTAGTAGTAGTAGTAGAAGAAGAAGAAGAAGAGAGAAGAAAAAGAAGAAAAAGAAGTAGAAGTAATAGTAGAAGAAGAAAAGAAAAGGAGAAAAAGAATAAAAGAAAAAAAATGAAGAAAAAGAAGAAGTAGAAGAACAAGAACAAGAAAGAGAACAAGAAGACAACAACCAGCAGAAATAAGCATCAAACCTAGGCACTTTTCGTTATAAATGATCACCATCCTTACTCTTCAAAGGTTTAATAGCTTCTTTTCGTTCTAGCTTCAGGATTCCTCTCTGTTTACACTTGTGAATCGGTAATTGTACAAAGTCGTGTGCTAACAAGAGACATTTACGGTCCGGCTGTTTATAACGAAGAATCCCAGATTGACTTTATATTCCTTGGTATTGTATTTGTGTTAGAAAGAGAGAGTGGGGAGAGGGATGGAGAGAGATACAGAGAGAGAGAGAGAGAGAGAGAGGGAGGGAGGGATGGAGAGAGATACAGAGAGAGAGAGAGAGAGAGAGAGAGAGAGGGAGGGAGGGAGGGGGGAAGAGAGTGAAAAAGAGAGAGGAGAGAGGGGAGGAAGGAGAGAGAGAGAGAGAGAGAGAGAGAAGAGAGAGAGAGAGAGAGACAGACAGACAGACAGAGGAGAGGAAGGGGAGGAGAGAGAGAGAGGAGAGGAGAGAGAGAGAGAGAGAGAGAGAGAGAGAGAGAGAGAGACAGACAGACAGACAGAGAGAGAAAGGAGGGGGGAGAAAGAGAGGAAGAGAGAGAGAGAGAGAGAGAGAGAAGAGAGAGAGAGAAAGGATAGATTACGTCAACTGGAGTGCGTTTAAGCATTGTCAATGATAGTACGAATGTTTTACAGTATAACACACTGGTGCGCACATGTATGTATGTATGTATAGTGGATGTATGTATATAATATAGTATATATATATTATATATATATATATATATATATTATATTATATAATATATATATATATATATATAATATTATATATATATATATATAAGAAATTGCATATACTATGGTAATGATAATGACAATCATAAAACAACAACAACAATTATGAAAATACCTTAAATAAAAAGACCAAAAACTAAAAAAAAAAAAAAAAATAACGAACATCTATTATCATCGTTCCTATAAATGAGAATGCTCTTGCGATTCGAAGGGTTAAAAAAAAAAAAAAAAAAAAAAAAAAAAAAAAAAAAAAAAAAAAGGTCCTATTGGCCATTGATTATCTGTCCTTATCAGTAGTCTCCGTGTATTGATTAATGTGTCTGATAAGAGATCTGATCTTTCAATTTTTTTTTTTTTTTTTTTGGAAAATCCGACTTGTATTTGGCGATCGCGATCTTTTTGATAAGGGATAAGGTGGAAGAAAGGAGGAAAGGAGAGGAGAGGAGGAGGGAGGAGGAGAGGAGGGGAGGAGGAGAGGGGGCAGGAGGGGAGGGAGAAGAAAGGAGGAGGGAGGGGGGGAGAGAAGAAGAAAGGAGGAGAGAGAGAGGAGGAGGAGGAGGAGGAGGAGGGAAGAAGGAGGAAAGGGAGAGAGAGAGAAGAAAGAACAGAAGGAAGAAGAAGAAGAAGAAAAGGAAGAAGAAGAGAAGAGGGAAGAAGGAGGGAGAGGGAAGAGGAGGAAGAAAGAGGGGGAGGGAAGGAAGTAGTTAAAGAAGGAAGAAGAAGAGAAGGGGGTAGAGAAGAAGGAAGGGGAAGGAGGAGAGGAAAAGAGTAAGAAAAGAGTAGATAAAAAAAGAAAAGATGAGGTAGTAAAAGGAAGGGAAGGAGAAGGAGGAAGAAGAAAAAGTGTAAAAAAAGGAAAACATGGAGGAAGGGAAGAAGGATAAGGAGGAAAAAGAAGACGAAAGAGGAAGAAGAAGCATGAAGAGTGAGAACAGAAAAGGAAAAGAAAAAAGTAAAAGAAGGAAATAGCATTAAAAGAAAATGAAATAGAAAAAGAGAAGGAAGATTTTCCTGTCATGTATTTTACTTAACCTACAAAACGAACTAAATCTTTGCAAATTCACTACATCAGCAAGATTTCCAAATTATACCTATTATCCTGTATATGAGAAATAGAATATCAGAAGAAAGAAAATCGAAAAACAATCCCCTGACCATTTTTTTTTTTTTTTTTTTTGATGGAAGGGGGGTCGATTATGTTTTTTTCGTTCTTTCTTTCTCTCTTCCTTTCTTTTTCCTTCCTTGCTTCCTTCTTTCTTCCTTCCTGCTTCTTCCTTCTTCTTCCTTTCTTCATTCTCCTTTCCTCTTTCCTTCTTCACTTCTCCCTTCTCTTCGCTTTCTTCCTGTTCTTCGCTTCTTCCTTCGCTTTTCTTTGTCTTTTTCTTCTCCCTTTCCCTTCTCTTCCTTCACTTCCTCTTCCCCCTTTCTCCTGCCTTCCTTCTTCTTTCCTTCTTATTTTTGTCCTTCATTTGCTTCTTTCTTTACGTCGTCCTTCACCCTTCTTGTCCTTTCGCCTTTTTCCTTTCTTCTTTTTCTTTCTCTCTTTTTTGTGTGAGTTGCATCCACACTTTTGCTGTTCTTAATTCTCCCCTCACTTTGAAGAATGGTGTCCAAGAGCCACACAGGAAATAAAGAATTTCGACATTTTGATTAATTTTAATTCGTGTTATGCAAGCCTTCGTTTTTCGTTGTTTTCTCTCTCCGTCTCTTTCTCTTTCTTTCTCTTTCTCTTTCCTTCTCTCTCTCGTCTCTCTCTCTCTCTTTTTTTTTTTTTTTTTTTTTTTGGCTTGCTTGTTTTTCCTTTGTCCTACTTGTCCTCGCCTCCTTGTCGCCCTTCGTCATCCTCCCTTCCCCTTCTCCTCCCTCTTTCTCTTCTTATTATTAATTATTTTCTTCTTCCCCTTCTTCTTCTCATGACAGTAATGATGATAATAATAATAATGACAATAATGATAATAATGATAATAATAATGACAATAATGAATAATAATAATAATGATAAAAATAATGATGATGATAATAACAATGATGAAATAATAAACAATGATAATAATGATAATAATAAAAAAATAATAATGATATAATTAATATATAATGATAATGATAGTAATGAGATAATAATAATATGATAATGTTGATAATGATGATATGGCAATAATAATATTAGTAATAATGAATAATTACGATAATGATAATGATACTGATAATAAATG